GATTTGGTGATGGGAAACCCGTGGGGATTACAATTGAGATGAAAAAAAAAATGTGCAAAATGATGTAAAAATAAACTTTTTAATAAAAAAAAATTAAGGTGAAATAAGACCATTTTTTCATATAAAAAAAACTGTGATAATTTATCACTAGTAGATGTGTGCTATTAAGATTTCATAAAGGAATCCATTAGGTAACAGGAAATGATCTAGTTTGAAGCACAAAATTGCAGAAATGAATGAAAAGCACCGATAGGCTTAAATTTGTGGGTGATTATAAGAAAATACTGATGAAATAACATACTTTTGTAGAGGTATGAACCATAACCCTAAAACATACAGTACTATAAACATGTTACTGTGATAGAAATAATATAAAGAGAATATTGATGATTAAAAACAATAACTTCCTTGCAGCATGATTAATATATGTAGGAGGGAAATTTATGGTGTCAGTGGCATAAAGTACAGAAAAGGGATAGAGTTAAAATGTAATATACTAGCTCTGATTGGAAAATAAAAGTTCTAATCTAAGAGAACACTTTAAAGATGTACATTTATAGTATCCAGGGTGACAATGAATAAAAGAAAATGGTATAAATAAAAAGCAGATCTAGAGGTAAAGTAGCATGATTAAAAGACTTGAATAATCCAAAGGAATCCAAGAAAAGAGAAATTAAGAAACAAAATCAAAAGAAAAAAAGTAAAAATTATCAGCATAGCTAATCTGACATACAGCTCAGTAGATTGCTCCTATCTCGCCCACTGCTCCCCCTCAGCAGTGTATTTCAGTCAAGCCACCATTCTGCTCCCCATTATGTCTCTGTTGAATCCTCTCACCCTCTACAACTCTGGCCTATGCCCTAATTTTTCTATGCAAAAAACAAAAACAATGCCTATAATCTCCAACCGAAAATTAACAATACACTCTAAAGACAAAAATTTCCAGACAGTAACAAACACAACACTCAAATATCAACTCTTTACAAGGGACACACTGTAAATATAAGGGCTTGGATAGGTCTGATCTAATACCTATAAAATAGATGAACCCAAAATTGGCAGAACTAGAGGGAGAAACAGACAAGTCCATATTCCTAATTGGATGTTTTAACTCACCACTCCAATTAACTAGTAAATTTTTCCTGCAGTACCACAAGATTGATAACAGTATACCATTTGTTGGGATATAATGATTTTTTTTTTAGATTTATTTATTTATGCATACAGACCTGGCATATAGACCAGAAGTGTGGTGGGTGAGAAGATTCCCCAGAGACAAGTGGGGAGCAGAACAGACAGATGTGCAGAGACAGATGTGCAGAAATATACTGCTGAGGGGAGCAGCGGGTGGGTCAGGAGAGGTCTGCCGTGCCATGGGGGTCAGCTGCCTGGTCAGGGATCGAATTCGTGCTGTAGTGACTTCGGAGTACCCTGCCCCATAATGTGGTACTTTAACCCGTTGCACCACCAGGGAGAGCCCATCTCTCAGTAAATATAAAAGGACTAAAACCATATATAAAGATCATTATCTGAAATGAAGGAATTTCAGTAACTTTCTTGTAGTGCAAAAGACAGCAAAAATAGGTGCAAAATAGGTGTGAAATGGTACACAAACCATTTCAGAATTCTGGAAATTAACACCAATAGAGAATAAACTATATAAGAAAGTATATGAACCTTGGTAAGACAACTGGGCTCTGTGACATTTTAACTTGGGGCTATTTCACCCCTCCTTTAGCTAGGGCAGGGGTACAGTTACTAAAGGGCAGAAAGAGGCCTTGCAGCCTGCATAGAGTCTGACCACTTTGAGAATCCCATCAAAGGCTGTTAGCTGAAGAGTACAGTAAACATTTTCTCCAAATGTATAGTTCCTTGGAAAATCTCTAATCCCAGACTGGTGTTTGTTATTTTGACTCATAATTTAGCTCTCCAAAAAAAAAAAAAGAAGGAAATCCTGTGTCAGTAAAACTAACTGCTGAAAGACTCTGATCTCTGTTGGGGGCCAATAAAGCTGACCAGGAGAGGTTAAAGGGAATCCTGGTATACTATGAGTATAGGGAACTTTGGAAAGTTCCACCACTTTCTTGGGGAAGCTACTAGGTTGCTGTGTGCAGTGCTGTGCACATGTCCAGAAAAGAGCTGAGAAAGGAGAAGGTTCCAGTCACTCACCTCTGGCTGATCTTCAGGATCTGCACAAGCAGAAGTGAAAGTCAGTGAGTGCTGTGCTGTCCTATGAGCTTCCTGAAATGTGAAGGGGTATCTTTTCAAAGATTCCTGTTTACAAATAACACTGAAGACAACATATTTAAAGAAAACCTATGATTCATCCTTGATTGACCACTTAATTACACCGAACTAGGTGATTTCAGTTTAAAACAGCAAACTGGCAGAGAGCTAAGTGACCACATACCTCAGAGAAAAGAAAAATCTAAACAAATAATCAGAAACAAGAAAACAGTAACAAAAACAGCAATATAGTAAAACCTTGGTGTGGGGAGGATCTGATACCAAAAGTGTTATGATTTAGTATTGAAAATGCCCAGTTTATAAGAAATTATGAAAGATGCAAAGAAACAAAACTTTCTTGCTATGTTTACAAGGAAAAACAGCATATGGAACATTTCCCTGAAGGGTGAGATTTGGGGCTTAGTAGGCAAAGTATTTAAATTTACTATAAATGTTGAAAGGACTAGAGGAAAACATATCTAAAATATTTAAGACTATGACAATATAATATAAAAGAGAATATAAAGAGCTAGAAATTACAAAATAAAACTTTATATCTTAGCAATTATAAAATAATCACTCTTTCTACTCAATATTGTATTAAGGGCCCTAGCCAGGACAACTGAGTTAAAAGAATTAACTGTATTTGCAGATTATGTGATGATGAATTTACAAGACCCTAAGAAATTAAAACCTAGTACAACAGAAACAAATTTAGTGTGGCAGGGCACAAATTCTAAGTGTAAAAAAATCAATTGTATTTCTATAAACTAGCAATGAATAAGGAAAAAATAAAAGAAGTAATATCATTTATAGTTAATATCAAAAAGAATAAATACTTTGGAATAGCTTCAACAAAATTTTGCATACTTGTACACTGAAAATTGAAAACATTACAAGAAATTAAGGAAAAACTAAATAAATGAAAATATAACCTATGTTCATAGTTCAGAAAACTTAATATTAAGATGTAACACCCATAGATTATTCTAGATTCAACATAATCTTTATCAAAATCTGACCTAGCTTCTTTGTAGAACTGTCAAGCTGATCCTAAAGTTCAGACTGAAATTCAGTGGACCCAGAGTGGCTAAGATAATCTCAATAAAAGAGAAAAAGAAAATTGGAGGACTCATCCAAGTTTTAAAATTTACAAAGCTGTAGTAAGCAAGACAGGATATTACTGATCAACTCAATGAAATGGAACTGACTTTCCAGAAGTAAGCTCTTAGCAGTGTCAAATGCTTTTCAACAAGAGTGCCAAGATTAATTCATTAGGAAAGGAATAGTTTTTATAGCAGATTCGCCAGAGACAGCAGGCGAGACAGGAGAGGTGTACTGTGCCATGTAGGTGCGCTGCCTAGCTGAGGAGAGAACTCCCTGTGCCTCAGTGGCTGCCAATAGCTGGTGATACTGTTAAGACTTGGCCCCTTATACCACCAAGGAGGCACAGAAATAGTGTTTTTAACAAATAATGGAGTGACTAGATACATTACATGAAAAAGAACAAATTTAGAACCCACCAGTCATCATACTCAAAAAATCTTGACACAAATATAATAGTTAAACCCTCAAACTTGTAAAAAACCATTTTTTGGAGGAAGCCTATAACTTTGTCTGTTGATTAAAGTATTCTTAGCTATGACATCATGAATAAAAAAAAATTGATAACTGGAGTTCATTGGAAGTAAAAGCATTTCTACTTCAGCACCAGGAAGTGAAGACAATCCAAAGGATGGTAAGATACTTGCAAATCTTTTGTCTGACAGTGAACTTGAACCCAAATAGTCAGAGATGTACTACAAATCGGTAATAAAAAGATATATGGCCTCACTAAAAAATAGGCATAAGATCCAAATAGGTGTTCCTACAAAGATGTGTAAGTTGGCTATAACCACATGAAGACACCTGCATCATTAATAATTAGTGAAATACAAATTAAAACCACTTTGATGTCTGTAATTGAAAATCAGGCAGAATTTATCAGATGTGCATAAGTATATACATGCATGTAGACAGACAAACACGGACAGATAGGGGAGGGAGTTGGAAAGATAAATTATTTTACAGAATTATTTCAAGCAGTTGATTCACAAGTCTGAAATTTTCAGGGGAAGTTTCCAGAATGTAATTTGTAGTAGGAGTTGATATCTAGGTTTATATTCAATAGACACTCTGGAAGCAAATATTTTCCGTTTCAGAGGACATCATATTTTCTCTTAAAACTTCCAGCTAGGCCCTCCCTGGTGGCTCAGTGGGTTAAAACACTGCACTAAGAAGCTGAAACCACTTCCACATGAGTTCGATTCCCGCCTGCCCCGGAGGTGACCACATGGTGTGGCAGACCTCTCCTGACCCGCTCACTGCTCCCCTCAGCAGTGTACTTCCTTAATCTGCCTGTTCTGCTCCCCACTCTGTCTCTGGTGAAGTCTTTCACCACCCCTGAGTCTCTGGCCTGTACCCCAGTTCTGTATGCACAAATAAATAAATCTTAAAAAAAAAAAAAAAAAACCTTCCAGCTAATTGGATAAGGCCAACCCACATTAGAGAAGTAAACCAGCATTACTCAGTTCACTATTAATCACACCTAAAAAAAATATATAGTCACAGCAATATTTAAACTTGTGGTTGACCAAACAACTGGATACCACAACATAGTTAGGGGGAGATAGAAAATTAACCATCATACTTGTCTGTTAAGTGTTTACCATTTTGCTAATATTTAGTTATTATTGTACATTCTTAATTGTTCTTTGCTTTTCTTTGATTACCACTTTGACTCCCCCCTTGCCTTAGTTTAGCATTTAGTTCCATTCTCCACTAGACTCTAGGCTTATTGAGTTAGAAAGATGCTATCTTTCTCGTTGTGAAATTCAGCACATTTTCCAGTATATAATAGGCCCTCAAATATTTGTTGAATGAATGAATGAGCTGGGTAGATTTGGATATATTTTTTAAGGGAAACTGCTGTTCTTTTATACAGTTTTATCATATGTTCAACTTGCTTAGTGCTTTTTAAGAACTTGGTTCTTCAATAAAGATGGATTTTATTGTATTGAAAATACTCAAAAATATTTAATTATTCATGTGAATTCATGAATTATTCACATGAGTGAGTATCTGAATCATGATTACATGTGAGCAATCATGTGAGTAATCAAGCTGGTAGGGTCACAAAATGTGAAAAATAAAGTGCAATATGAATTAGGAAATGTATGCCACACAATATGTACATTTTAGTTAAGCTCTTAATATTTAGCTGTCATGTGCCATCCTCCTCCTACAGGGTATTTATTCCAGTCACTGATGATGACAAATAGGGTCTGTGTTCTGCTTAAATTCCTAAATGAAGATAGCTCCACCTAGAAATCTATTTTATCACTTAATTGTAAGCAGTTTGTTTTCTTTACAGGAGGAAAATGTTCTATGTAAACACACAGACACATACATTCATATTTGTTCCTTCTCTTAATTTTTTAAGGTGCTTTTTCCAGCCTAAGTCCTGTGAATTCTCCCAGTTATGGACCAATGTCTGCTAGTTCTCTAACTAATCGATCACCTATAGAATTTCCGGATACTGCTGATTTTCTTACTAAGCCAAGAGTTATTTTACACAGATCTTTGGGCAATGTACCCAGTTCACCAGATTTTTATCAGCAACTTAAAAATTCTGATAGCAACTTATGTAACAAGTAAGTTACCTAATTGTTTCAAAATACAGGTTTAACAAAATATTATTAGCTACTTGTTTATAATATCAATAGATAATGGATTAAGACTGTATCATCTTCTTTATTTACCTTATAGTTTTTATTCTAAATGAACTTTCTCATTTCACTGTTATTACTCATTTTCCAGTGTAAGTGAAATATAATTCAATTCTATTTATCTTAAAATATCAGTAATTGTATAATGATGATCTTAGTCTTTGTAGATTTTGATGTTTATATCTATCTAGTACCCAGTTCATATATTTATTATTATTCTGCTTTGGTAGTATAGTAATTAGTGTTTACCTCTGACCTTTGATGTTCAATATATGTTAATACAATCTTATTAAATACAAAAAGACTAAAATATTTGTATGTTTTGCATTTGAGATCTTGGTTAAAAATTAAGAAAATATTCCAATTCTACTTAGGTAAGAAATATTTTGGTATATTTATCATATGTATTTATCTGTTTTATTCCATAAGTTGTGGACATCAGATACAGAAATGTGTTTCAACTGCTGAATCAGAATCTGGTACAGATTGCCACAGTGGAAAATCAGGTAAGACTGTGCAAAAAATCTATGTGTTTGAGTTTAAAAACAATTTCTGATTTTGCTTTTTTAATGTACATGAATGGCATCTTTAAAATGAAAACTATAGTATATTTTCCATTATATAGGAGTTGTTAGAGACAAATTATAAATAGGTGGTGAGTAATTTTTTTTAAGATTTATTTATTTACACATACAAAAACTGGGGTACAGGCCAGAGGTGCAGGGAGTGAGAGGATTCACCAGAGACAGAGTGGGGGTGAGTATAGGTAGGTTTACTGAAATACACTGCTGAGGGGAGCAGTGGGTGAGACAGGAGAGGTCCGCTGTGCCATATGGGTCACCTCCCTGGCAGGGATCAAATTCATGCTGCAGTGGCTGTGATAGCTTCATAGTGCTGTACTTTAACCCATTGTGCCACCACGGAGGACCCAGTGAGAGTATTTTTTTTTTTAAGATTTATGTATTTATTCATACAGAACTGGAGTACAGGCCAGAGTTGCAGGGGCAGTGAGAGGACTCACCAGAGACAGAGTGGGGGGCAGAACAGGCAGGTCAACGAAGTACACTGCTGACAGCAGACGGGTCAGGAGAGGTCTGCCGCGCCCTGTGGTCACCTCTGGGACAGGCGGGGATCGAACTCATGCAAAAGTGGCTTTCGATTCTTAGTGCTGCGCTCTAATGTGCTGCGCTTTAACCCACTGCACCACCAGGGAGGGCCCAGTGAGAGTTTTTTTTTTTTTAAAGATTTATTTATTTATTCATACAGAACTGGGGTACAGGCCAGAGGTGCGGGGGGTGAGAGGCTTCACCAGAGACAGAGTGGGGAGCAGAACAGGCAGATCGACGAGGTACACTGCTGAGGGGAGCAGCGGGCGGGTCAGGAGAGGTCTGCCACACCATGTGGATCTCCTCCAGGGCAGGCGGGGATTGAACTCATGCAGAAGTGACTTTTGATTCTCAGTACAGTGCTTTAACCCACTGCGCCACCAGGGAGGGCCCCAGTGAGAGTATTTTTAAGAGTAAAAGTGAGCCATCATAAACAGTGAAATTAATTATAATAACTTTGGAATTTATACTACACAATTTAAGCCTGAAAGGATTAGCACACATTTTTCTCAGGCATAGAGGAATGCTTTTAAGATTTGATTATAGCATTCTGAAATATTCTATATTCTCACATTAGAAATATTGTTGGTAAATATTGCCAACTTATAGTTTTTTTTATAACTTTAAACAATATATGATTCAAGTATCCCATAATAATTAACTAGGCATCACACCATCATTCCTCCTAAAGGTAACTAGAGGAAAGCTATTAACAACAAAATCTATGGGAAGCCACTGACATACTAACAAGCTCTTTAAACTGCTCAGAGTTAACCAGTTTAAGATATAGTTGGATGAGGGTGATAGTAGTCCAAGAAAGTGAGCATGGAGTTTGGGGCTATCCAAAAGTGTGTTTGTTGGCTGTTTCTAGAGGGATCAGTGATTGGTAGAATGGGAATGACTCTTTACAGAGCTCCATGGGAGTAGAAAGATAGAGATTGTAGTTGAAGGACTCCCTTAGTAGGGAGTCCTTCGTAAACTCAGCAGTACTGCACCCTAGGAAATGGTAAGCCAGAAATAGATGAGGTGCTTCATGGATCATAGATTCATATCATCCCTTCACATATCATAAAATTCACCCTTTTATAGTTTACACTTCAGTTGTTTTAAATGGGTTGTTCTATTTTCTAAACAAAGCATTCCTTAAGCACTTCCCAAAAAATGAGTGAAACTTCCCTACCTATTGTGTAAAACCAGTGTTACCCTGATACCATGGCCAAAATAAGACCAAAACTTGGTTTTGCAGACAAGAAAACTTCCAAAAAATATCGTCTATGTGCATAGCTATACAAAAACAACAACAAGGCCCTCCCTGGTGGCGCAGCAGGTTAAAGCACAGCACTAAGAAGCTGAAACCACTTCTGTATGTGTTCGATTCCCGCCTGCCCGGGAGGTGACCACATGGCGTGGCAGACCTCTCCTGGCCCGCCCGCTGCTCCCCTCAGCAGTGTACTTGAAAGATCTGCCTGTTCTGCTCCCCACTCTGTCCCTAGTGAAGTCTTTCGCCACCCCTGAGCCTCTGGCCTGTACCCCAGTTCTGTATGCACAAATAAATAAATCTTTAAAAACAACAACAACAACAAAACACCAGCAAACTGAATCTAGCAACAGATTACAGAGGTTACCCATGGCCAAATGATATTCACCCCAGGAATTCAAGAATATTTTAAAATTTGAAAACCAGTCCATGTAATATATCACATTAATAGAATAAAGGGAGTAAAAACACATGTTATTCTAAATAGATGCAGAAAAGACAAAATACAAAATCCCATACTTTTTCTTGATAAAACATTAAAACTGATAATTACAGGGATATTCATTAGCCTGATAAATGGTATCTTTTTTTAGATTTATTTATTTATGCATACAGAAGTGGGGTACTGGCCAGAGATGTAGGGGTAGTGAGAGGATTTACCAGAGACAGAGTGGGGAGCAGTACAGACTGATCAACGAAGTACACTGTTGAGGGGAGCAGCAGGCGAGACAGGAGAGGTCTGCCTTGCCATGTGGGTTGCCTCACAGGCCGGGGATTGAACTTATACTTCAGGGGCTATGGATAGCTTCATGGTGCTGGGCTTTAACCTGTTGTGCCACCAGGGAGGGTCCACAAACTGCATCTTTTAAAAACATACAACTAATACCATTTTTAATGGAGAAAGACTGATGTTTTGGCTCTGGGAGTAGTAATAGGATAAGGACATGTTTTCAGCACTTACATTCAATATGGTACTGGAGATTTTAGCCAGGACATTTAGAAAGAAAATGAAATAAGGTATCCTGAATGGAAAAAAGGAAACACACTGTCCAATTCTACATATGCTTTATGTAGAAAGCAGACACATGTTACTATTACTAGAACTCACAAACAAGTTGAGCAGTCATAAGATAGAAGGTCAATGTACAAAATCACTTGTATTTCTGTATGCCAGCAATCACCACAAGCTGAAATAAGTATGAAAAAGAATCTGGCTAGAACAAATTTAACAAAAGGAAGCAGGAAACTATGAAAACTATAAAACATTGCTAATAGTAAAGAAAAACTAAAAAGAGCCCTGCATCTTATCAACAGGGCTGGTTGTTCTCCCATTATTCCACAAATTCAGTGCAATCCTTATCAGTTTTGGTATGACTGGCAGAAAATATCAAGTTGGTCTTAATATTGAAAATACAGATGACCTACAATAGCTAAAGTAGTTGGGAAATGGACACATTTGGAGGACTGATAATATTAATTTCAAAACTTACATAGTCACTCTAAATAAAACAATATGGTATGGGTAGAGGATGCACCCACCATGAAACCAAACTGCTTGTCCAAAACTTTTTACATTTATGAGCTACTAATTTTTGCCATAGAAACCAAGACAATTCAAAATAAAAAGGACATTGCAGCCCCCCCCCCCCGACAAATGGGACCAGGACAACTGGATATCTGATTGTCAAAAAAATAATAATTTGGCTCCTTATTTCACCATACACACAGAAAATTACTCCAGATAGTGCATAAGCCTAAGTATAAGACTTAAAAGCATGAAACTTGTGGAAGAAAATGTTGCACAGAGTTTTCACGTTCTTGAATGAGGAAAGTGTTCTTAGATAGAATGACAAAGCACAGTTCCTGAGAGAAATTGAGCTTATACACATCAAAAGTCACCAATAAGAAGATGAAATGATATATGAGATTGGGGAAAATATTGCAAGTTATATCTGATGAAGGTCTTAATATCCATGATACATAAAGAACTCTTTACATCTTAGTATTTTAAAAAGTCAAATAATTAAGCTAAAAAATTAGCAAAGATCATAGATATTTTAGTGAAAATCATTTGGTGAAGGATATAAATAAATGGATGATAAGCATAAGGAAAAAATGATGAATATCCTTAGTTTCCTTCTTAGAAAATGTAAATTACTGCTACAATGAAACAGAATGCATTCCAACTAGAACAGTTATAGTTAAAAAGACAATACCAAGTGTTGGCAAATATGCAGCAAAATTGGATCTCTTGTACATTGCTGAGGAGAATGTAAAATACTATGATCATTTTGGAGGACATTTTGTTAAAAAATTATGTATAAATTTCTCATAAAACCCAGCAATGCCACAGTTAAGAATTTACATCAGAGAAAACATGAGCACTGAAAGACAGGATTATGAATGACTATGACTTCATTATTATTGACAATAGTGCCAAACTGATAATGATTCAAATACCCATGAAACTTTGAATATATAAATATCATGTAGAATAACCATAGGATGTAATTCAATTCATAAATCTAAGGAATGAACTCTCATGCATTCAACTACATGGATGAACTTCTTACATTACTCTAAATGAAAAGCCAAACTCAAAAGATTACATTTTATGATTACCTTTATATGAATTTTTAGAAAATAAATGTAAATGGGCATAAAAGAATATGGGTGATGAGAGTATTCTAAAACTGGATTGTGATAGTGTTTGTACAGCTCTGTACATTTACTAAAATTGTTGAAATACACACCTAAAATCAGGGGATTTTTTTGGTATGCAATTATACTCAATAATATAAAGCATGGGAACAAAACCAATAGTTCAGTAGTTCTCTTTTAGTCTTGTACTAGTTATTCTCAACTGGGAGATTCTCACTTGGGAACTCTCATATCATTACTGTCAGATACTGGCAAGGGTGAAAGTCATCTGAAGAACTCATTGGGGTAAATTTCCAGGATGGATTACCCATCTAATTATGACCTCTTTCTGGCATTCTTCCAACTGTTGACTGGATTCTAAGAAAGGAAGAGGTGGAAGCTGCCAGTCTATTTAGTGGCCCAACCCAGAACAAAATATCACTTTTTACCATATTCTGTTAATCAGAACAGTCAAATGGCCTGTCAAGATTTCAGGGTCTTGGGAAATGCACTTGAAGGAGAATATATTTCAAAGGAGTGTTGCAGACATTTTTGGAAAGGAAACTGATGCATTATTTCTACTGGTTTTAGGAGTTTAGATTATTAATTTTAGAAGTTGATTATTAAAGTACAAGCCATGTACTTCTTCAAATATCAAATTTTTATATTAATGACTTTACATTACTGCAATTGCTGCCTAATTTACTAGTAGTTACCAATAGTTGAATATTCTAAATTTTATTTCTTAAAATAAATATTTTTTTTCATTTGGAAAAAATGCTTTCTAAAAGGTTCGGCATATCCCAGTCATCATCAGATTTTTGAAATGTATTCCATGTGGTAAGGTTCAGATTTGACTTTTATTAATCACCTGTTATGTGTAATATATAGTAGTTTAGGGGTTACTTATCCACATTTTACAAGGGAAAAAGTTTGTCATTCTTAGATGCAAATTCAGAATTTAAATCTAGTTCTTCTGCAACTGCTGTGTTGAGTACTCTTAAAAACTTGTACTTTACAAAAAAAACCCTACATTTTGAAAAAAGTTCATAAATTTATAACTTGAAATTTTTCATACACTTAATAAACCTGTGTAATCAGGACCTCAGACTTTCCCCTCATCCTTTCTTCCAGGTACATTCTCCAAAGATAATGTCCGTCCTGTCTTTCAGTACTCATGTGTATAAGTTTTGACATGTTTTTGAACTTTTCATAAGAGAATCAGAGTACGTACCTTTGTGTCTGGCTTCCTTCATTCAACATTAGATTCCTGAGAATCATCCATATTGTTGCATGTGATCATAGTTCATTCTCTTTGCTCTGTAGTGTTCTATTGTGTGTGTATACTGCAGTTTATTCTGTTAATGGGATTTGAAAAAGCTTCCTGTTTAGAATATTACAAACAAAATGAGTATGAATGAATGCCATTTAGTTCCCAATACTACCTCTACCCCCTGTGATTTGGGATCAACAACATATTGGCAGAGAAATAACTTGTAATTCAGGATATTGTTTTAAACTTTAGATGTACCTTAATTTCATTCATGAATAACTATAAATTTGTGTTTTCATATTTAAAACTCAATTTCAGATGTTGAAAATTGTTCACCAAATTGGTTTTTTAAAGTTCCTATTGTTAGGGACTGATGATTTTCTCTTTCTCACTTTTATAAAGAATATCCAACTATCTCTTTCATCTAGGAGTGGGTAAAGCAGGTGAAATGTTTGTGTTGCCTAAACATAAGGTACTAATGCAGTGTAACAAGATCCAAAATAACAGTGTATTCCTACTGAACACCTTAGTCCACTTTTCCTGAGTATTTTTCACAAATAATTTTCCTTATTAAACTAGCCAAATAGGGAAAGTTTTATTCTTATTTATCACTATGTTTTACTTTTTGAAAGGTGATGAAGACAACACCATTTTATCAAGAGAATCATTCGACCTTGCAGAAGCTCAACAAAAGGAGGAAAGTGAAAAGAGAGACAGCAGAAAATTGTTTCTGGAAGGTGATAATCACCTAACAGAAGCAGCACAGAACGAACAGCAACCAAATGTAAAAAGATAAACTTTCCTTGTGATTTTGTTATGTGAAATGTACTAGTACTAATTTGCATTCTTTTTACCTGAACATGGTTTTTAATATAATGACATTTTTAAATGTTTTACTGATAAGTCACTGTAACATGCAACAACACTTTGGATTAAACATAAGTACTCATAAGCTCATCATTCTATAGCAGAGTATTTGTTTTTAAATAAATGCTTTTATAATTTTATAGCAGATGTTACTTTCTATATTTTGATATTTTGTGTATTGTTAAAATGAGGAATATTTGCATAGACATTAAAAAACAACAAAGATGATCTTTTTACTTGAAATAGTACTATTTCTTATGTTCTTAAAGTTCAAAATCTAAATTTCTTAGAGAAAAACCTACCCATTTCTCTTGGGAAGTTATTTTAGTAATAAATGCCAAAATAAGGATATGAGTTTATATTTCTGCTATCCTTTACATTTACAACTTCTAAAATGATAGTAACAGATTATAGATTTGTGTTTTGGAAATACAATATTTTAAATTTGTGAAAGTAATACAAAGATTAATAAGTCTTTTGATGCCTAGAAGATATGTTTATAGTTGCATGAAGACAGCATTCTACAAAGAGAATAGGAAATACAGGTTATGTTTGAGAATAACCATTATAGAAAATAGTACTTGTCATTTTATAATATTCACCTTTAAGTATTCTCTTTAAAATGTGGATTTCACAATATTTATAAAAGGCAAGATTAAGTTAGTTTGGGTGTTTTTCCCCTTGCTTGTATAGATTGAGCAGGAATCATCACTGGACCTGCTTCTAATAGAAGATTTTGATTCATTAATAGAAAAAATGAGCAACTGGAATTTTCAGATTTTTGAACTTGTACAAAAGATGGGGGAGAAGTCAGGAAGAATCCTCAGTCAGGTTTGTTTCCATTCTCTAACTTTTATTACAAATTAATTTTTCTTGTATCTTGATAAAAAGCAAAATTTTAAAATGTATAATGATTTAAGTACAAGGTCAAAATTGTTCGTTGAACTTTTTTCACAAATGAAATTTTCAGTAGAAAATTATAAAAGATAAACTTGTATTTGAAAATGACATACATATATGGAGAGAGGTATCTATAGATGAAGACTAGTTTATTTGACCATATCATTCAGATTTAATTTAGGCTAAAGTTATAATAAAAAAATACTTTTTGATGAGGGAGCTGATGAGGGACATGAATGATGGAGTTGGATCCATTTGCACTCTGTACACTTTACCCTGTTCATGGTAGAAAAATGTAATAGCATTTCCATTTCAGTTTTCCCTGATGGGTCACACAACATGAAATTTAAGCAACCCAACAAGTATCCTTCTCATCTGTTCTGAAGTATTGCATATGAATCTTATTTATGAAATACAAGAACATAAGGATAAATTATATTGAAAGCATAATAAGTTCATCATTGAAATCTTTTTTTTAAATTTTTTTAAAATTATTACAAAAATTTATTTTTACATCATTTTGCACATTTTTTTTTCCATCTCGATTGTAATCCCCGCGGGTTTCCCATCACCAAATCACCCGTGTGCCACCACCATAGTCCTGTGCATTTCCCTCCCTCCCCCCCCATTCCCTACTCCACCCCCACAAAATGTCTCTGGTATATGGTTGTTCATTATTTTTGTTATTGTCTCGCCTGGTCCATTATACTCCTGCTATGAGTGAAACCATCCGGTATTTTTCTTTCTCTTTCTGGCTTATCTCACTAAGCATGATCTTTTCCAGCTCCATCCAAGTTGCTGCAAAAGACATGTGCTTCTCTTTTTTGGTTGCTGAGTAATATTCCATTGTATATATGTACCACATCTTTTTTATCCAGTCATCTACTTTTGGGCATTTGGGCTGCTTCCATGTTTTTCCAATTGTAAATAAAGCAGCAATCATCATTGAAATCTTTTAGGAAAAAAATAATGACAATCATGTTCTGACTTTTTTTTAAACACCTAGGGCTAGAAAGGAATAGAATTCTTATGCCTCTCAGTAAATTACAAGTAAAAAGCTAAAAAGGATGCACAATTTTAAATTTGGTTCATTCTGTGGTAATTCTTCATTGGTTTTTAAGGGTTCCAGAGTGATGTCTTCAAGTTTGTTTTGGGAAAAAAATCATTGTGGGGAAGTTATTAATGGATTATTAATTTAAAGAGATACAAACAGTTAAGATTTTTAAATGCCAACCATAAAAACATTGCATTCAACTACTAATAGGAATTCTGGTTTTTAAAATGAACTATATTTTAATTGATATTTAGGTCATGTATACGTTGTTTCAAGACACTGGTTTATTGGAAATATTTAAAATTCCTGCTCTACAATTCATGAACTATTTTTGTGCACTAGAAAATGGCTATCGAGACATTCCTTGTAAGTATTAAAATCTTATAATTTATGCTCAAATAATACTGGTTTTGAAATTATTATTTTCCTTTCGGGTAATTCAACACCTTTAAACTTAAATGTTTGGAAAAGTTATCAACAGGGATTTAAAAATAAAGTCTGTATCTACCTAGTGTTAACTGACTAAACATTTTGGCTTGTGTTCTTCAATTTTTTTTTACATGTTTTTTACTTTAATGAACCATAATATTGACTCCTATTTAATACTGCCTTTTTACTTAATTATATGGTAAAAATCTTTCTATGTTAACATCATTCAAGTACCTTACCTTTTATAATGTTGGTAATATTACCCAAAAGTTTCAGAAATTTCTTAACTTTAAATTGCTTAATATTGAGCCTCTTGGTGGTGCAGGAGTTAAAGACATGGTGCTATCAAGCTATCTTGTGGCAGGAGTTGGATCCTAGGCAGGCCAGGGAGCTGGCCCACATGGTGCAGCAGACCTCTCCTGTCTCACCTGCTGCTCCCCTCAGCAGTGTATTTCAGTGGATCTGCCTGTTCTGCTCCCCACTCTGTCTTTGGTGAATCCTCTCCCCTGCACCTCTGGCCTACCCAGTTCTTGTATGCATAAGTAAGTAAATCTTTAAAAATTAAATGATAAAATGTTTAATATCTACCCATTGTATTTTTTAACTGTGTCCCCACTTGCAGAATTTTTTATGGCTATTTGATTTTATAGATTTAATTGTACTTCTTATTAGCAAAAGATAGTTTTCCTTTTGTAAACACACTGTTTCCCTCTATATGGACACATTTTAGGGAAATTTTATAGAGTCAATTATTCTTAAACTGGCATAACCTATTGCTAATTATGCTTAATTTATTTTTAAAGATTTTATTTATTTATTCATACAGAACTGGGGTACAGGCCAGTGACGCGGAAGGTGAGAGGATTCACCAGGGATAGAGTGGGGCAGATCTACGAAGTACACTGCTCAGGGGAGCAATGGGTGGGTCAGGAGAGGTCTGCCAAGCCATGTGGATCACCTCTGGGGCAGGCGGGGATCAACTCATGCAGAAGTGGCTTAAGCTTCTTAGTGCTGTGCTTTAATAAACCGCTGCGCCACCAGGGACGGCCAATGCTTAATAATTTAAAGTGAGTTCGATATAGTTTCCAAGATCCACTTATAATTGTTCAAAAATGGCTAAATTGTATAAATGGAATAAAATGTTACTTTAAGATGGAATTGCAACAAAGGGAAGTGGGAAAAATAATGTGATAAGAGTTTTCACTTCAGTTACAACATACTAGCTAAAAGAATCTCCTGATTTTGTTTCTAAGTTATAGTTTCCAAGTTTATAAACAGTGGTAAAAATAGTTAACCATTCTATAGATGATGATAAGAAAATCCATGCAAATTACCTATCAGTTCTCATGGCATATAGTAACTGGTCAATAAAAAGTGATGATTATATTAATAACTAAGCTACTAGTAAATTGACACCACATCCTATCTATACTCTGAATGATTAGTGTTGTGTGATTTGCTAACCCTACTTGGTAGATAAGCATTAAAAACTTCTTGAAGTGTTAAACTTTCATTGAATGACTATTCATGTAGGTTAGTTCATTTAATCTTTATCAGAAAGCTTACATTATCTCCCTTTTACGGGTAAAAAGTAACAACTCAGAAGGATCTTTCCCAAGATCATAAAACTAGAAAAAGCAAAGGTGATTTTTACTTGGAGGTCTTGCCTTTCAGATAGTGGTATTTCAGTAAAACAATGTTTTATGAATCATACAGTATTTGTGAGACTGTTCTGGATGTTTTCACATAGCAGTTAATATCTCAGCAGGTCACAGGTATTTCTCATATGGGATGGCACTGGGATGGGAGGCAGAGAGGGACAGAGAGTTCAGGTTTTTGCTGTTTTTAACTGTTTTATGTGCCTGTGTGCATGCCTGTGTTTCTATAATCCAGGTGCCATTTGCATAATAATTTTGAAAGCCATAAAATAGCAGCATTAAGTAATTTCCAATGCTTTCAAATGAGTTCTGGTTAAACTGCCTGTTCTTGAAATCAGTGTATTCTAAAGTTTTCAAAAGAGAACTTACAATATAGCAAGAGACTTAAAAAAAAAAAAAGAAAGAACATCAATAAAATATGTAATTGTGGAACATTATTCTATACAGTTCACTCATGAGGGTATAGTAGGTGTAGAAAATTATTTTAAAAAGTAACCTACATACACATGATTTTTAAAACATTTTGGTTATTTTAGATCACAATCGTATACATGCCACAGATGTCCTTCATGCAGTTTGGTACCTGACAACACGGCCGATTCCTGGTTTACAGCAGATCCACAATGATCAAGGAGCAGACAATGAGACAGGTACTACCTTCTATGCCTGTAAAGTTCAATTACATGATAAGGAATAACAGCATCCTTATTTCATTGCATACAAAGAACTGTTTAGATTTTTACTCATAATAACATGCAAGTTAGGAAAGCTACCCATCTCGAGAGCTATGTTAAGATCTAACTCTAAGTCTACCATGTTTCTTTTTTGTCACATCCTGCTGCTTTCTCCAGTGCAGTACCTGCTATTCAGTATACCATAACTACCTCTTCAGCAATATTTCTTTCAGTTCTTGGCTTCTCATTTTAGCTATGTAATGTAAATTTAAAATATATGACATTTCCAATAAAATATGTTTAAAAGGCTCACATACGTATTTAAATGATGATATTAAAGAAAAAAACTTTGTTAACACTCCAATTTCACCTCCAATGAAGTTGATCCTCATCACAAACTTATACAAATAGAATGACCTATAACATTCATGGTATTCTTATTCTGGCTTATAAAATTGGCGAAATAGACCCAGACAGAACTTTCTGTGATAAGTTTCTGAAAAATACTACCATACTAATCAGTGTAAATGTCATAGACTCAGCCACTGTTTTATCTTCTTGGTGGTTATATCTAAAATACTGCCATTATTGGTTTAATGAATTTTAATTATGTCACTGGTTGATTTTTGTTTGCCATCCTTATTTACTATTTGCTAGTGTTATCATTTCTGCAAATTTATATTGGAAGAAACATGACGAGTATATGTGGAAATGGAATATAATTGTTAAAATAGGAAAGAGAATCACCATTTTTTTTACATCATTCTTCATTCTGTGCATTTTTTCATCTCAGTTGTAATCCCCATGAACTTCCCACAACCAATTCACCCATGTGCCATCACCATAGTCTCCTTCTTACTAGAATTTAGTTCTTACTTATATTTAAATTTGAATACTTAAATATATCTTTATCCATATATTTACCAGTCTTGTTTTTATTTTTTATATTTATTTTAAAAATAGATCTACAGGTGATTCTAAAATTAAATTTAGCTACAAAAATAGTGAAATATCTTTATGAGTATCACTAGTGTGTATTAAATTCAACATGTCTAAAAAATGATGACAAATATTGAGTGAACTAAATTATAATGAAATCATTTTGGATTTTGCCAAGTTCTGATAAACACAACCTACAAAATTTTGTATCCAACTTGTTACTTTTCTTGTGTCTACTTTAGTTATAGTTTTTTTTTCCTTTTAAGATACTTTTAACAAAAATAATATAGTATCATATAAATAGATAAAGCTACCAAAATACAAAATAAAGAAGAACAAATGGCTAAGATATTAGGACACCAAAAAGCACAATGCTAAGAGTGAAAATATTGTTTCTAATTAGAAGATAACGAGTTTATGTTGACTAAAACATTCCTCAGTTTTCCATGCCTTTTCATTTTCCAGTTTTCTTCCATTATTTTATAAAGGGCTTTGTGGAAGGAAAAAAAAGGGAAAGAGTGCTTGTTAGAATTACAAATGAAACGTGATCTTGGTTACATTGAAAAGCTTAGCTTGTTAATATATTAAAACCCTACATTTGTTTTCATGAAATTTTATTTTCTAGATGGTTTTTTTCCTGTCCATTCTTATACCCTGCCATTATATCCAAACCTTAAAGAACAAATGTTTAGAAAATCAGTAATTTTAAAAAAAATTATCAGCCTGAGTTAAAGCATCATGAGAATCTTTCATGTATATATAAAATAAGCAACCTTGATTTTATTCATGTTTAACATGCTTCCTCTCTGTTAGCATGTATGTTGGAAATAATACATATTTTTAAGTTCATGCTTATAAATAGTCTTTTTTTTAGGTAAGCCAATAAATAAGATAACCTTATGGGAAATCCCCTCACCACATTGTGAGGAAAGTATGTATAATGCTGGTTTAATTTTCTTGTTCCTCAGATTCTGATGATAGAATTAACACTGAGCGAATTGCCTACATTTCTTCAAGGAGCTGTTCTATTCCAGATGAGAGCTATGGTTGCCTGTCTTCAAACATTCCTGCATTAGAATTGATGGCTTTGTATGTGGCAGCTGCCATGCATGATTATGATCACCCAGGGCGGACAAATGCATTTCTGGTGGCTACAAATGCCCCTCAGGTGAGAAATACTATCAGAAAATATAATGATTCTGAAATCTTACAACCACTCTGTGTATCTACTTATAAGCCACTTCTCAACTGAGTCATATGGCCACTTCATCTCTGTCGCAATAATTGAATAACACATGCCATTTACATGTATGCTAAATAATTCCCAGAAATATCATCAACTAGAAAATAATCTGTTGATGAAAGAGTAATTCACTATTTTCTGAAATTCTGGAATCTTTGCTTTCAATACTTTTGCCTTTAATCAGATTGCTAAGACTGACTAGAAATAAGACTTTTCCTTCTGGCAGGAACCTTAGTATGGTCTAGTCAGACTAATGATAATAATTAAGAACTATTATTTTGTCATTGTCCACTTTTCTTCATAAGAACACCTTAATACTGGTAGCTCTGAATATACTACTATACAGAAGTATTTCTCTACTACCACATTTCTTTTTTTGTATACAGTACAATTTGTAAGATACAATATCCCTTTTTTTTTTTTTTTTAAAGATTTATTTATTTGTGCATACAGAACTGGGGTACAGACCAGAGGCTCAGTGGGTGAGAGGCTTCACCAGAGACAGAGTGGGGAGCAGAACAGGCAGATCGACGAAGTACACTGCTGAGGGGAGCAGCGGGCGGGTCAGGAGAGGTCTGCCACGCCATGTGGTCACCTCCGGGGCAGGCGGGAATCGAACTCATGCAGAAGCAGCCCTAGATTCTCAGTGCTGTGCTTTAACCCGCTGCGCCACCAGGGAGGGCCCAATATCCCTTTTAAGGTCACAATGTGCTTAAGCAGCAAAAGTTTCTGGAAAGATGAATACTACAATTATAATAGCTTTAAACGTTAAGACTTAGAAATACTTGATTTTGAGTAAAATTTATGTGGCCATAGATGTTTATTTAGGCTGGTGACTCCTGAAATGTCATCTTTATATATGTAATGTATGCCCTACAAACAGTGCAATGAATTAACCTTCTTCCCTGTTACACTATGTTAAAAACCTCAGGTCTGATTCTTTATTCTTCTGTAGCCATTCTGTATTTATTTCTCCCCTGCCCCCATTTCTTTTTCTTTTACTCACCCTGTTTAAAAGTAGAGCAGAGGGGACACTCTGGTGGCACCGGGGTTAAGGTCTCAATGCTTTATAGCCACTGCAGCACGAGTTCAGTCCCTGGCAGGGACCTTACTCTGGTGCAGCAGACCTCTCCTGACCCGCCCACTCAGCAGTGTATTTCAGTTGATCTGCCTGTTCTGTTCCCCACTCTTTCCCTGGTGCATCCTCTCACCCCCTGCACTTCTGGCCTAGACCCCAGTTCTTGTATGCATAAATAAAAAATAAATCTTTAATAAAATAAAATATGGGTGATAGATTCTCTAATCAACAGAAGTGTAGGATTGAGAAAAATATGGGCAAAAGGAGAAGAGAGAAATAGATTCAAAGGGTTAGGAAGAAAACAGGAAAAACAGGGAGTGCTGGTGTATATATTACTTTCTAATTAAAGTTGCCTTGAATGTTAAGAGCAAACATAGAGATTCTCAGCTATGCAAAGATTCTAAAAACCATGTTTTATCCTATCTCTATTTCAAAACTCAGAACTTCAGGGTGAAGGAATCCCAAGACAGCTGTTTATCAAGCCTATTTCTTTAAAAAAAAGCAGATTTTTATTCTTATTCTTATTACTAGCTGCTTTATTTTGTATAGCACTTGCTCTACTACTAGTAGTTGATTTTTTTTCAAAATTAGGGGTTTTTTTTTCCTAGATGAAAATACTTTCTTAACCTAAACATTTTTACTTTTCAGCTGGAGTTCTTGTCTTCTCTTTCTTCAGAGTCCCAACCTGTCTCTTAACTCCACTCCTACAAAAGTCAACTGAGGCTTTATTACCTGTCTTACCTGGACTGTATTTGTCAATAATGCTGTGCATTACTTACAACTTAGTCTTTTTCTAGCTTCAAGCTTATACCTTTTGACCTACATTCGTCCCAGCCACCCCCAGCCAATAGTAACCACCATCTTCTGTTCTTGTGACTGACTTTTTTAGATCACACATAGGACATCATGCAGTATATTTCTCTATATTCTTAAGGACCTTTCCATCTATGTTGATGGATACTTAGGTTATTTCCAAACTTTCAGTGGCCCGTTGTATATACTTTAAATCATCATTGCTTACATAGAATCAATGGTGTAAATAATGTGTAAATAATCTGTGCTAAAGTCTAGACTATACCTAATTTCAAAATAGGTAAACCTATTTGAACTCTCAGAATATATCGCTTATTGAAATCACATTCTTTTTTTTTTTTTTAATCTGTCCTTTCCCAAACAGAAAGCTGTATGAAAACAAGGGTAGGGTTTTAATGTTTACCCCCTGATTTTAACACTGTTAATAATTACTATGTCTATTTATTTTTTTAATTGCTTAGTTTTGGGGCCCTCCCTGGTGGTGCAATGGGTTAAAGCACAGCACTGTAAAGCTGTCTGCAGACATTGCAGCGCCAGTTTGATCCTTGACCAGGGAGGTAACCTACATGGCACAGCAGACCTCTCCTGTCTCATCCACTGCCCCCCTCAACAGTGTATTTCAGTCAGTCAGCCTGTCTATTCTGTTCCCCACTCTTCTCTGGTGAATCCTCTTACCCCCAGCACCTCTGACCTGTACACGAGTTCTTATATGCATAAATAAAATTTTTTTAAAAATTGCTTAGTTTTGTGAAATCGAAAAGTGGTTAAAAATTCCATATTCCGGCCCTCCCTGGTGACGCAGCGGGTTAAATCACTGCACTAAGAAGCTTAAGCCAACTTCTCATGAGTTTGATCCCCACCTGCCCCGGAGGAGATCCACATGGTGTGGCAGACCTCTCCTGACCCGCCTGCTGCTCCCCTCAGCAGTGTACTTCGTCGATCTGCCTGTTCTGCTCCCCACTCTGTTCCTGGTGAATCCTCTCACCCTCCGCATCTCTGGCCTGTACCCCAGTTCTGTATGGATAAATAAATATTTTAAAAAAATCCATATTCCAGTTTTTTTGACATGTGATTCTAAAGTCCTAAGTATTGACACATTAGTTCAAGGTATCCTGTTGTAACAGAGTGAAAAAAAAAGTGCTTCCTGCCATAGCACTTGAAACAGAGAATTTGTGTTTTTACATGTTTTCATCCTTATTTCTTTGTCAGAATAGGAGTATAGGATGTGACCTTTCAGACACCCAGGTGCCTGACTCACCCTTGATATTACTCCTGCTTCTCTCTTCTTCATTCACCATCTCTTCAGGCTCCATATAATGGCTAAAGAACAGAAATGTATCCCTAAACCTACTCTATATTCCTCATTAACAGAAGCTTTACCTGAGTTTTACTGAATTAATTAAACCTTAAATATTAACTTGTATAATTTCTTAGGATGTAGCATAGTGGCTACAAAGATAAACTTTGAAGACATAGATGACCCTTTCACTTCCAGGCTGTGGATGTTGGAGAAGTGTAGTTATTCTCTTTGGACTCATTTATAAAGTCATTACAACCCTTCCTTGCAGGTGTTAAAATACCTGACAAAATCTTTGGCTTACAGTAGGTACTCATTGCTTGTATTCCAGTCTGATCCTAACTCTGTTCATTATTGAAGTTTTTAATCTGCGATGCCTGTCTCATTTTTCTTATTTTTAGGCAGTTTTATACAATGACAGATCTGTTCTGGAAAATCATCATGCTGCATCAGCTTGGAACCTATATCTTTCTCGCCCAGAATACAACTTCCTTCTTAATCTTGATCATGTGGAATTCAAGCGCTTTCGTTTTTTAGTCATTGAAGCAATCCTTGCCACAGATCTTAAAAAGCATTTTGATTTCCTTGCTGAATTCAATGCCAAGGTTTGTTATGCAAACTGTTTTCAAAAATGGAAATCATTTTATCAGTGTTACTGATAAAAGATGTTTTTAATGTTAACTTAGAATGCTAACTCAGATAGTCATAGTATCTGGTATAAGATATGTATTCCAATATTTTTAAAAAAATTCTTTTATGATAACATGTCCTAAATTGTTCTTGTTTGCTACATGTCCTTTCTGACACCAACCCATAATTTTGACTTTCCTTCCCATAGTGAAAATCCAATTAATTTCCAAAAACTTTTAGGCAAAGATTTGAGAAAAGTATACAGTGCCAAGTAAGGCATTATAAGAAATTAAAGATGTTTCCTATGAAAACAATTATGCCTACTTTGCCATATCTGTTATACTTTGTTATTGATGCTTTTACTGGTGCTGTGAAGATAAGTATGATTTCCTCTTCTACTTAAGAGTAATGCACATTGAACAACTATTTCTTTGGATTGTACACATGTACAGTCACTTTGTGAGTGAAGAATAAGGAAATAACAGGGTCCTCCCTGGTGGCACAATAGGTTGAAACACAGAACTGTGAAGTTGTCCACAGCCACTGCAGCATGAGTTAAATCCCCAGGCGAGGGGGTGACCCACACGGCACAGCAGACCTCTCCTGTCTTGCCCACTGCTCCCCTCAGCAGTGTTTTTCAGTCAGTCTGCCTGTTCTGTTCCCTCTCTGTCTCTGGTGAATCCTCTTACCATCAACTCCCGCACCTCTGGCCTGTACCCCAGTTCTTTAAAAAAAAAAAAAAAAAAAAATTAAAAAAAAAAAAAAGTAACAGGGCCAAGTCCCTGTTCTCTCACCACTCACATTCATTACAGAATCGAGAGTCTCTGCCCTTGTGATTGGAGTACTGACAGGACGGGATTGTGTCACTCACATTTGGGGTAAAAAAAAAAGTAAAGAACTACTCTTTAGATCCCTCAATGAAAGATGCCCCCTTCTTTTGCCAGCAGGAAGTTGTTTTGTCTTGATTATATTTGTGACCTACAGGAAGTAGGTAGACCTTGCCTTTTTAAATTATTCCATAGTTGTAAAACTATTCCTTAATTTTAATATCACTTCTTTCATGTAGTTACTTTAGAACTACGGAAGTTTTTACACATGAAAGATTATCTAACCCAATAGTTCTGATCTGTGTGTTCTACAGACTTCTGTAGTCTCTCAGGCAAATACCATCTGACTAGGGCTCTAGAAATCCAATAGTTTCTATTAAAAGAGTACTCCTCTTTTTTTTAATTTAATTTCTTTATTTGTATGTATTTTACATCAGGTATATTCCCCATAGGATTTCCACCACCAATCACCTCAGTCCCTTGTGCTCTTCACACCTGTGTTTTGTACTCTCTCCCTCCCCCTAGTGTAGAATGTCTCTGATTACAGTTTTGTTGTATTAAGAACACTCCTTTCAAGTGTCCTCTGCAGTGATGTTCTGTATAAGTTTTCCTTTGCTGTCAAAAAGACTACCTCCACATTAAAAGTTCAAAAGACATTGATATGGTCTTCACTTCCATTTTTTTATAAGAGGAAATTTGAGCTTACAATAGACATAATAATTTGCTGAATTAGTGAGGATAGTTATCTTTTCTGTAAATAACAATGTCTTTAGCACTAATTTAGCATTTACTATGAATTCTGGCATTCCTTATTATTAATCTCATGGTAATATGGCTAGATTGGCATTACCTTTCCTATTTACTGATAAAATAAGACTAAAAGATACCAGTGTTAACAAATCATTCTGAATCATGATTTAAAACTATAAGGATCAGCACCTCAGAATTGTCTTTTACCTTTAACAGCTATAAACAACCTCTCCTTAGACCACTAAGTATTTTTTCCTAAGATAGAACTTAGTTTTTATATGATTTGATGTGTTTTGCATAGTAATATATTTTGCATATATACTTAATATATGTTGCATACAGACACAACTTACAATTCTCTGTGTTAATCACAAATATTGAAATATATGGCTTGTTATATTTTCTAGTACTCTGCTTCAAAGGGAAATTTAACCCATAGATGCCCATGTTATGACACAAACTGATGAAAGCATTTGCTGAAATTTCCTCCTATCATTTGAATGGGAAACAGTTTTAATTTGGTTAAAAAAAAATGTCCAGTGCTCTCAGCACCTAACATAATTCTGTTTTTCCAAAATAGGCCAATGATGTAAATAGTAATGGTATAGAATGGAATAATGAAAATGACCGCCTCTTAGTATGCCAGGTGTGTATCAAACTGGCAGATATAAATGGTCCAGCAAAAGCTCGTGACTTGCATTTGAAATGGACAGAAGGCATTGTCAATGAATTTTATGAGCAGGTAAGCTGAAACATGAGACTGGTGGAATTGACACTACTCTTTAGGATTTAGATGGCTTTATTATGTTTGAAATCTGAGTTACTTTGATCAAAAGAGTTAGAAATTATTGTATTTGTTCTGATCTTAGTATTTCCTAAACTCATTTTGCCTTTGCTGCTGAAATTTTAAAACAGCAAGAAATAACTGTCCCTCTCCAGTGGGATGAATGTTTTTGAGTTAGAGGTAAGAAAAGCATACTTAATGATTCTGAGATCCCTTTCAACCCTGAAAGCCTGTAACCTAGGGTAATTTATTTCCAAATAAAGGAGACTTTAATTCATTCAGAGTATGCTTAGTTTATATTTAAAGAATATCAACTTTCAAGTGCTATAGAAAGAATGCTTTAAAAACATCAACTACATAATAAAAGTCTGGCAGAGAAAAATTAGAGGGCTAGAAATGTACTCTGTAGTTTTCAATGATTCAGATAGATGAACATTATAATTTTCTCATGTTTTAAAATCTTGGTTTTTTGTATCGCAGAATCTATACTTTTATGGGGTGGGGGGGTTCTAGTTTGGGGTGGGGCTCTCTACAATATAGAAGTATACTGATTTCTCTACAAGCCTACCAGTTCATTATCTCCAAAATAGCAAATATATCTTTTTGATTTTGGAATTACATTTCTTGGTATCCTTATTCCCTACTACTAAGTAAAGCCTTTGTGACAGAACTATTTTTCCTTTTAGTGGCTCCTCCAGTAGTAGGAATGAAGTGAGTTTGTAAACCACACATGCTAAATCCAATATACCTATTACCCAGTTTGTACTGGATAACCAGTAGCTATACAATATCCATCTCCCACCATCTTAGCTAAACATCCCAAAACATACTAATGTATACTCTGCTACCTATAGGTTACAAAATACCATATAATTTAATCAAGAAAGTGAGTGTCCAATATCCACATTTTATTATTATGATACATTTCAATGGAATTATAGGCAATTGTAGGTAATAGTTATAAATATCTAGTTTGTAGATTGCAATATATAGTCGACATTTCCCACCTTCATTCTCAAAGATAATTGAAGCCTGCCCCAGAGTTCTCCAGTGGATTTCATTTCAAAAAAGAATTTTATGCTAAGGAAAATTAACTATCATTGTGCTGTCTATACAAACAGAGTAATAAAAAAAATAATATTTGACTGTCAATTTTAGAAAATTTACTATTTGTAAAGTAACATTAGAAAAGTTCATTTAGTCCCAATTTATAATGTAATTATTTTAAATATTTAAATTAATTTATATTAAATAAACTTGGAAACACACCTGAGATTTTCCTGAGCAGGAAACACACCTGCTGACCCACATGGTGCAGCAGACCTCTCCTGACCCACCTGCTGCTCCCCTCAGCTGTGTACTTTGTCAATCAACCTGTTCTGCTTCCCACTCTGTCCTGATGAATCCTCTCACCACTCCCCCCCCACACACACACACCTCTGGCCTCTGGTGCAGTTCTGTATGCATAAATAAATATATTTTTTAAAAACTATAAGGATGTACAGTATTATATATTAACCCAAATTTGGGCTTTTTTTTTTCTTTCTCTTTTTGAAAAACAATAGTCTTCTTCCTCATAAAAGAAAAAGTTGTAGATTTTTAATCATGGATAGATGGTTAATCACTGGGCTTGTTGTTGGCTCACTGCAGATCGACACTGCCTGCAGACTGCACTAGAACACTGGGAACTTGGGGCTGCGTAGCCATGTGCTAAGTACTTACCTTATGTTGCTTCTAATTCTCAGCAACCCTGTAAGAGAGGTTATGCAAATTTTAAACATGTTGGTTGGGTGAAGTGTTTGCTCAATATCACAGAGATAAACAGATGACAAAAGTAGGTTTTAAAATCACATGTGATCTGAAACTATTCTCCAGAATCCTAGAGTCACAGTGGCAGAATCTCAGAGCAGGGAGTTTCAAAAGTATTTATATGCGATTTGGATTGCTTAAAGGGTCCTGCTGTTACAAAAAGGGATCAGAAAAAAAAATTACAAAACTCAACTTTGTGCATGTGAGGTATGACTATGATACCAGAGTTTGTACATTATACCATCTCCCCTGGGTGAGAACATTTAATATTATAGACTGTTTCAGGTTGTTAGTAAATATGCCTATATTTATTTTAAAAGATGTATATTTTGGGCCCTCCGGGGTAGTGCAGTGAGTTAAAGCACAACACTATGAAGCTAGCTGCAGCCACTTCAGCACAGTTTGATCCCCAGCCAGGGAGGTGACCACGTGGTACAGTAGACTTCTGTCTGGCCCCTAGCTGATCTCAGCAGTGTACTTCATCAATCTGCCTGTTGAGCAGTGTACTTCATCAATCTGCTCCCTACTCTCTCTGGTCAATCCTCTCATGGCCCCTGCACTTCTGACATATACCCCAGTTCTGGATGTATAAATAAATAAATCTTTAAACAAAAGTATATTTCTCATGGCACATGGATGACTCGGTGATGGGAAACCCACAGGGATACAATTGAGATGAAAAAAAAATGTACAAAATGATCTAAAAATAAACTATATATAAAAAAAGTATATTTCTCTTAGCAGAGTATCAACTATTATAGGTTGACTGGTGGGAAGAGTGTGAGAATAAAGTCTTACTTAGGATTTCACAAATTAGAAAAATTCTTACGGTTGAAATGATATAATAATAATTAGGTACATTAACACTTCTGTAACCTAATGTAGATGGTGCTTTTTAGAAAATGTCAAGAACTTTAAAGCAAAGCTGTTAAAAGGGTATAATGGTTGTTCTTTCAATAGTTAAAAATGTACTTTTCTTTTTAAAATGATCAGGGAGATGAAGAAGCAAATCTTGGTCTACCCATCAGTCCCTTCATGGATCGTTCTTCTCCTCAACTGGCAAAACTCCAAGAATCGTTTATCACCCACATAGTGGGTCCCCTGTGTAACTCCTATGATGCTGCTGGTTTATTACCAGGGCAGTGGATAGAAGCAGAAGAGGACGATGATACTGAAAGTTGTTATGATGAAGATGGTGAAGAATTAGATACAGATGAAGAAATAGAAGACAACCTAAGTTCTAGTAAGAATATAAAGAATCCATAATTTTTAATGGCTCTAAGGTTCATTTAATGTGGATTTGGATCTTTTATATCTAAAGGTAGAGATTCAGTAGTCATGCCTTGAGTAAAGGAACTATATACTACCAAGCTAATGCCACACACAAGCTTTCTTAGTTAAAACAGCATCTCTGCCTGCACATGCATGAAAAGCAGTCAGCACATCTGAAGGTACACGAGGTGGTGATTCCTCATGGCTGCCTACACCTCACCTCTCCTCTTACCAACCACCCTCTTACCAACCCACCTGATAGTTGAAGAGCAAAAGTTCTGAAGTAGTAGCCTGATAATCTGCGAAGTAGTGGCCTAAAAATCTGCCCTTCACCTAGACTTATGCAACAGGTCAAAGTAATTGGGAAGAAGGAAGGTATACACTGACCCAAAGAAGAGAACCAAGTTTTGTGGCATTATGAATTTGAATTACCCAGTTGTAAGGACACTTTTCTATATAGTCAATAGGTATAAAAAAGAAAAACTTTGTCACCTTTGTAAAGTGTAAATCAAATCAATTATTCTTTTAAGTAGAATTTAAATTACATTCTGATTATTTCATTGTTTTCCAAACTTGCTGTATGTAAATCAGAACAGATAATTTATTTAAAAATCTACCCTTTTCCTACCATGCTATGTTCAAGATTAGCAGAGTGCAGAATAAGTTTAGGTCATGACCATCAGTGTCAACTTAGGAAAGGTGACTGGCTTCTAAAAATTATTTATATTCACCAGACTTTTATTGTGATAAATTCAATATATTAAATTCTTAGTTTGTTTTTTTTATTGGACAGTTCAATACCAACCCCCACCCCCTCTATTCTCATTATTTCACCCTAATCCCCTTCTCTGCTTTATTTTTTACCCATAATAATTAACACCATCTAGCATACTCATGTTTTGTTTTTGTGTTTGCTTGCTGAGGTCTTTCCCACTAGAATGTGAGCTCCATATTGCAGGAATTATGTTTATCTTACTGTTTTCTACTATAATCTCTGCTCAGGAAAGTGCTTGGAATATAATATGCACTCAGACAGTTGTTGAATGAATGAATAAATCATATTGCAATGATTACAATGTATTTGTTTCACATTTCACAGAACCACAAAGGAGGAAAGGAAGGCGACGAATATTTTGTCAGCTAATGCATCACCTCACAGAAAACCACAAGATATGGAAGGAAATCATAGAAGAAGAAGAAAAATGTAAAGCTGATGGGAATAAACTGCAGGTGGAAAGTTCTTCCTTACCTCAAGCAGATGAGATTCAGGTCATTGAAGAAGCTGATGAAGAGGAAGAGAGACAGTCTGAGTAGAGGACAGCCATATGAAGAAGCCCCAAAGGGTGGTGCTCGGTATCAGAAATCCTTGCTTATTGTTCACCATGCTGACTTTTACTGACCATTCCTACGTGGCCAGGCCTTAATACTGTGAGAGGGTCCTCGCTGTGCTGGGCTTTACCCTACTCCTATGCACTTTCACCTCGTGGACTAGAAGACTATTGGTAGAGCTTGGCTTCAGTTAACTCATGTTGAAAAGTCCTTACTGCCTTCCCTGGTGTGTACATATTTTGTCACAATACTGCTTTGCTAGGAAGTAAGCTTTTCATGAAGGGGTAGCTATAGCTGAAAATTCAAGTGACTCTCGGCAGTTCCAGAGTGGCCTGAACTTTTTGTTTTCATGAAACAGATTCACATTGTTTATTTCCAACTGTGTCTTATGTCTTTGGGGGGGCGGGAGTCTGTGCCTATCTAAAAAAGGATCAAGTGTTGCCTTTCAGAGGGATTTGTTCAATGGAATACACTGTTTAGTGCTGTCCTCCCAGCAAGGTTATCCATGAAGGACTGAGTGACCTTTGTTATACTTAACAAAATCCAGGTGCATCAATTTTTGATGCTTTTTACTGTTAATGTATTAACTACTATGTTGTGTTTGATTTCTTTTCAGAGTATTCAGGTTTGTCATGGATGTCAGAAGTATGAATTCCACTCTTACTGACTTTGTATTTTATGGCTGAATTTTAAACTGTTTGGGTTTAACAATGAAGGCTTTCATTCTTCAGTCAAAACTTATTTGTACTCTTGCTCAGGATTAGTATTTTTAACCGTAGTTTAATATAAACACAGTATAAATTTATCAGAAGAAGAAATCTGTCCTAATATTGATGTTGACTGCTTAAGAAATGAACATTCTCTCTTCTTTGATAAATTTGGGATTAATTAAAGCCAAAGAAAAGGAGATATCTGTCTTCTGCCTTAATGCAAAAATCAAATGAAACTAATCCTATTAAGATAAAGAACAAAAAAAATAGTGTGATCTCTAAAGGACACATACTTTGAATAAATAATTGGAACATGTGTGTATCTTTAAATCCTTATCTTATTTCTTATGTGTAAAGTTACTGTAAAATTGATATTCATCAATCTGTTAAATTTCCATCTGTCTCAAACTACATGACAGAAATGACCTATGACTACTTCTAGAGCCCATCTGCAAATCTAATTTCTCAGATAAAGTAAATATTGGGAATACTTATTAAATTTTATAGAACAAATCTAAGTAGTTTAGTGAATCATTTCACCCAAAAGCACCTTACAAAATAAACATATTAAGGTAATGCAAAGAAAGTTGATCAGATTTACAGTGTCTTTAGGGCTCAGATATGTACCCTATATGTAAAAACATTTGAACTATAAAGAACAGCTAAAAATTGAAGATGGTGGACTGATATTTTCCATTATTATTGGAATATATTATTTATTATATGCTATATTTTGGATTTGTGCAGCTTTTGTAGAGTGTGAAATCATGAATTTTCCAGTTACTTCTTTCAAGTATGATGTCAGCATTACTTTCTTACCTGTCACCAGATAATTTCTTACCCACCTAAAATATTTGGCTTATCTGAAACATATTAAAGATCTATTCTAGTATTAGAAGTTTTGATCCTGTATAGTTATTATGATATTTAATGATTCATCAAGTTTTATTTATTAGACATGTTAAATGCTGAGTTCCTACCTGCGGCTTTTGCTACTATTGCCACATCATTTGTAAACTGGTCCCACATTGTAGAGTAATAAAATTCTAACTAATTTATTTAGTTTGTACTCATAATGCATATATCCTGTGCTTCTATTTCTCTAGATCATAATTTGCAACCTGTGTTAAGTACTCAGCTATTGTTTGCTCTCCTGCAAAATACAAATAGGTGTAGGTGTATAAGTTCACATGTGTACACGTGTGCATCAAATTTCCATTCTTTCATTAAACTTTTGTATTGGGGTTATTTAGCATATATTTTCTCAAAATGAGATTGCTTTTTTCTTTTTGGTACTATTACTGAGAACTCATTTTAAAGTAACCAATCAATTACTTAAGCTTTACTGAGAAATTGATGTAACATTAAAATATCCCAAACAGGACCTGGCTGGTGGTGCAGGAGATTATATCTCAGCCCGATATGGCACAGCAGGCCTCTCTTGTCCTGCCTGCTGCTCCCCTAAGCACTGTATTTCAGTCAGTCTGCCTGTTCTGCTCCCTGCTCTGTCTCTGGTGAATCCTCTCACTGCCCTCCCCAATACCTTTGGCCTAAACTCCAATTCTTGAGTGAATCAATAAAATAAATCTTAAAAAAAACACCCAAACACTATAAAATATCTTTGAAACTTAAATTCATTAAGTTGTAGGAAAGGAACATGAGGGCACAGTAAGTATATAAATGTACTAGAGAGCATCTTACATGCACTGCTGTAAACCATACTGCAGATTCTATTTTTTTATTATTACCTAGTAATTTTTATTGTAATTTTTATTTTTATAATTTTCATCACGAATTTGCTATTTTAAGGACTAAGAGATTATTTCTGCCATTGCTTAGTCAGAAATTTACCCCCTCTCTAGATTGCATCAACTCATAAATGTGTCATCTCATACAAACTTCTCACACATGTGCGCGCGCACACACACAAATGAACAGGGCTAACTTTGGTTTCTTTACTTTAGTTTCCAGCTCATCTGATTAGTTCTAGAGGGCTTATGTAATAGTAACTGGCATGTAGAGCAAGGATGAAGAGCTTCTGAGAGGCAGGTGACTTGTATGCTGAGAACTAAAGAATTATGAATTAGCTCAGAGATGACTGCCTGGGAAGGAGAAGATCAGTGTGTGTAGAAAACAGGTGCCACAGGTCCCCACAGTGAAGGAGCCAAAAGAGATTAACAGTGACTGAAACAGAACAGGATGAAGTGGTAGAGAGGGGTGGCTAATGAAGGAGTTACAAAGAAAGCATCACATGTCATTTATTTCTTATTCCTAAAGGAAATGGAATTAAAAAAAATTTAAGCCAGAAGCGATGTTCACAATTTGTGAGAATCATACAAACAACACACTATGGTGCTCACTTTAAGTAGCACAAATTGGAATGATACAAAGAGGTTAGAATGGCCTCTGCATAAGGAAGTCATGCAAATTCCTAAAGCATTCCATCTTTCCTGGGTGGGAATGGGAGATTATGCTAAGTAAAATAGATCAAAATGAAAAAGACAAATACCGGATGTTTTTACTCATATGGCAAAGAATTATGCAAAGAATAGAAGCAAAACAGACAAAATAATCCAAACAATTCTTGAAATCTGACTGCAGACTGAGACTACCAGAAAGGAAGAGATGCCAGTGGACTATTGTAGAGGATTATTAGTGCTTTGGTGGTGGTTGTGGTGTGATAGTGGATGTTGTAGAGGTGTGAATCTGTACCATGAAAACATAGTATTGTGAACCAACATTATCGCAATAAACAATTTTTTAAAAAATAGTATGTTGTATGCAGAATTAGGCATAGTTAGGCCTCACTGATCTAGATTGTAAAGCAACAGGAAAGTGAATGGCCTCAATATTTAAGCATTAGAATCAATTTATCAGTTTATACTGGAGAAAGATTGGGTATGATGGTGAGAAAGAGGTTATGGTGACTTTCAGATTTTTGACTTACACAACTCTCAGTATCATTCACTGAGGGTATACCAGAGCAGAAGCAGAGAGTGAGGGGTGTATATATATCACACCTTATATGCTATTGATTCTCTGTATTTGAAGGTTCTTGACTGATAAAACAGCACCAAATACAAGGGACAATCCTAAGTGAGAATAATAGAAGTAGATAGAAGCTGCATTGCATTTTCAGAAACATAACTAGGTATTCCTATAAATATTTAAGGAAATAGGGAGTGGCAAAAATGAGCCAGCAGTAAGAAATTTTAAAGCATCACCAAGACAGAAAATAAACTTAGTATCAGTAATGGAATCCAGAAGACAATACATTATCTTAAGTTCTGAGAGGAAAAAGTTGTTCACTTACAGTTAATCAGTATAACTACAGAAAATGAAGGTAAAATACATTTTTAGATAAACAGTGAGATTTTTCCTTCTGTAGATTTATTTTAACAGAATTTTTAATGCAGTGTTTCAACAGCTTGCCGTAATGTGCATATGAATAATTTGGTGTTCTGTTTAAAATTTGTATTGTGATTTACTAGATCGAATGGGCTGCAAAAGTCCAGTTTTTAAAAAGTAGGTCCCAGCCCTCTCTGGTGGCACAGCAGGTTAAAGCACACACTAAGAAGCTAAAGGCACTTCAGCATGAGTTCAATCCCTGGCCCCGGAGGTGACCCACCTGGCATGGCAGACCTCTCCTGACCTGCCTGCTGCTCCCCTCAGCAGTGTGTTTCCATAGATCTGCCTGTTCTGCTCCCCACTCTGTCTCTGGTGAATCTTCTCACTGCCCCTGCACCTCTGGCCTGTACCCCAGTTCTGTATGCATAAGTAAATAAATCTTTAAAAAAAAAAAAAGTAGGTCCCCTTGAGGGTGAATATTTCTTACAAGTTTTCAGGTATATAATACTAATGCTGATCTGTTAGCCATTCTTAAAAATTAACAGGGTAATTCAGCTACTGAAGGGTCTTGTGTCATGTTGGAAAAATATTAAGATAGTGACACTAGTAAAACTAAGTATGATTTTAAAATGGGCAAGGAATCTGAACATTTTTCCAAGCGTGTAGAAGGTTAATAGGTACATGAAAAGGTGCTCAGCATGACTGATAACTGGGAAATAACCGCAAAGAGAGATTATTTCACACATGTTAGAATGCCTGCTATCAAAAACACAAGTTTTGACAATGATGTAGAGAAAAAGAGAACCTATGTACACTGTTGGTAAGAATGTAAACTGGTGCGGGACACTACAGAAAATATGGAGGTTCCTCAAAAAGTTAAATATTAACTACCATGTGACCCAGCAATTCCATCTCTGGGCATTTATTTTAAGACAATGAAAACACTAACTCAAAAAGATAGGTATATTCCTATGTTCACTGAAGCATTATTCACTTTAGCCAAGGAAAGCATGGAAACAAGCTGTCATTTGCTAGATGTATTGATAAATAAAACACAGTATCTATAGCCAATGGAATACTGTTCAGACATTAAAAGAAAAAAAAAAGAAAAGAAACCGATGCTAAGTCAGAGAAAGACAAATTCTGCATAACCTCCATGGTAGCCTATAGGTTAAGTGTCTACCATCACTTTGGTTCCAAGCCAGGGAGCTGACCCACAGATGGCACAGCAGACCTCGCCTGCCTCAACTGCTGCTCCCCTCAACAGTGTATATAAGTAGATACGCCTGTTCTGACACCCACACTGTCTCTGGTATTAT